CAACAACAACAACAACAACAACAACAACAACAACAACAACAACAACACCAACAGCAACAGCAACAGCAACAGCAACAGCAACAGCAACAGCAACAGCAACAACAACAGCAACAACAACAACAACAAGAATCAACCCCTTTGCCCCCGAATGCCTCCACAAACAGTGAACAACTATGGGCGATTCCCGAAAAGGCTGGCCCCACGTGCAGCCGGAACACGACCGCATTCAGGAAGACAAGGACAGATGCCACTTGATCCATATACGCCGACACCACCTTCAAGCCTGGGTTCAAGCCAAAGGGTCTGAAAACCTGAAGTTCAGAACCTCTAGACTCTAGATGAGAATCATGAAAAGTATGCTAGCGCGCCTCGGACCTTCCAACAGGTGGTGTTACATGTGTTACAACCCTCTTTGAGGTGGTACTGTTGGCTGCACATGGCCGGAAATCCTTGAGGACAGCGGGCCAAGGTATGGAAAGGGCTCCGCTCCTCTAGTCCAACCCCTGCGAAGCAAGGTCACCCTTGATGGGAGATTCCAGGGATGGTTACAGCTGAGCGGGGAAGTTTCAGTCTAAAACTAAAACATGATAAACATGTAATAAACATATCAATACATCTCTTCAGGAAAACCGGTTCAACCTCTAATGAATCCAGAGTGTGACCATACTTCAGGGTAAGATGTTCATGGGGTTGAAGTTGAATATAGAGTCATAGGAATAGTTGATTGCAACACTTCAACACATTGGGTTCGCCGTTCGCCCCAACTCCTCCGATTTCAGCGTCCAATCGCCCTCCCAAGCGCCGCGGGTCGGCCCGATCGTTTCAGCCGAATGGTCGAAGTCCGTCTGACTGGCCGATCTACTTGGGCGTTCACCATCTGTTCGAAGACGGTGCAGCAACCATAGTCGAAGAAAAAAACAAACGGTGACCAGTCACAATCTGAGGGATTGATGTAACCATCCTCATGCCGCTGTCCAACGGTCATTGTTTATGACTTCATTGATGGACAGCGGAGCGGGAGACATTGACATAGCATGAAATAGCTGGTCCAGGGCCGATCCGCTTTGCGATCTTGTGCGATTTTGTTTTGATGTTTTTTGTTTAACATGGGGAATACCACACCTCAAACGTTCACATGATGCTGACGGGCTGTGCGCCCAACACGAATGCCCGTCGCGACTCCCGTCGCGGTCTTCAGTCTTCATGGTCTTCACTAATCGCGGTACTGAACTGTCATTTGACCCCTGAAGACCATGAAGACAAAGGGTCAAGTGAAAGTTCAAACTGCCCAACCAACTGGTGGACTTGGCCCCTCTGAACTGCCAAAAAGACCTTGCACATGATCAGGACAGTTAAATCTCTGCGCCCGCTCATTTCACGGCGCAGCCATGTTCGGTCCCGGAAAACACACACTCTGACATTGGTTTGCTGTTAACTCAATTCCCACGTGGAAAGAAGGTGAGGGAACGGCAAGGTGAAAAGTCCGAAAAGTTGTAGATGTTTTAACAAGTGGTTTATGCGCATCTGCAGAACTCACGACGGCAGCTCACAGCGGCTCAGTGGCTGAAAGCGGCGGAGGGAAATGTTTTGGGGTCTATCGTGAGAACCACCATGAAACAAAGCGAGGAAGAGTGGAGTGACAGCTTGAAAAACAGTTCAGCAGGTACACGGAGGTGATCAATCTCCGCATCCCCCATCGTGGAACAGCTTCGTTGGCACAGGTATCCACGATGGGCCTGTGCCCCGAAGACCCTTAGCAACAGGGGTTGACACACACAGGTAGCCGAAGTCGGCGCAGGCACATGAAAAGGTGGCGTCATCTGCTTTTTTCTCAAAAAGCGCCGGCATGCTGTTGGATCATGTCCTTTTTGGACGTACAGCCGGATAAGCTAACAGGTGATTCATGGTGGAAATGTGAAATGTCGTGTCCTGTACATCGTGGAAGTCGAAGTGTTCTGACACATCCTTGAAATCGAAAGTGCAGCTGCAACAAATTCGAAATAACAAGCTCTTGCATGCATGTCGCTATCAAATCTGAAGACACAGATATTCCGTAAGATGCCCGGCGGCTTTGAATTCTGTTAATTCAGTTGTGACACGGAAGCAGTGAAAGTGATCCAGGATGAAAGGACGATAAGTCAGGAAAACGATTTCCGGTATGAAAGCAGCGCCTCCTTGCGGAGGATCACACCCAGCACCCAAGTGGGACGGCTGAGCGGTTCACACTCTGACATTGGTTTGCTGTTAACTCAATTCCCACGTGGAAAGAAGGTGAGGGAACGGCAAGGTGAAAAGTCCGAAAAGTTGTAGATGTTTTAACAAGTGGTTTATGCGCATCTGCAGAACTCACGACGGCAGCTCACAGCGGCTCAGTGGCTGAAAGCGGCGGAGGGAAATGTTTTGGGGTCTATCGTGAGAACCACCATGAAACAATGCGAGGAAGAGTGGAGTGACAGCTTGAAAAACAGTTCAGCAGGTACACGGAGGTGATCAATCTCCACACCCCCCCATCGTGGAACAGCTTCGTTGGCACAGGTATCCACGATGGGCCTGTGCCCCCCTGCATTAGTGGAACGAAGACCCTTAAGAACAGGGGTTGACACATACACACACACACACCTTTCGAAGTGGAGTGAACAAGTGAACACTTCTGACACGACTACCCCCCAAACCATCCAAGGAACTGGAATAGTTACATACATTTACCCCATGAAAATGACCTAATGTATGTGGTACCATGTATATTCCAGTTGGATGGTTTGGGACCCCGAACTGGTGGACATTGCATCCCAGGCACAACCAGCACAGCGACGAGTCCCTTCAAACTCAGTCCCTTGTGCAACCTGAATCGTCCGGCGGGAAAAACCAGGGAATGCCGAGTTGGAGAGGAAACCAAACAAGGCACCTTCGGAGCCTCCTGAACGCTTTTTCAGAAGCATTGATCCAAATGGTATCGTACAGCTTTAAAACAAGCCTGACCCCATGCAGAATACTCTGATAAAATGTGTAGTTGGCCCATCATCATCATCAACCCTTGAAGCTCTGTGTAGAGTGTAAAGGCGGCCTGCAAACCATAAGCAATGCCATTTCATGCAACCGTAACCCCTCCACCAACCGCTTTGCCAACCGCAATGATCATCTATCAAACATCATACAAGCATATATACAAGCAGTTCCAAGGGGAAACACTGCACAAACTTAACAGCTAATCAGGTGAATAACACTCCATGCACTTAAGGGATTCTATATAATTGGTCGGCCTGGTTCACACGAAGTTCAGCTCTTCCCCGGTTGGCGCCCAAGTGGCTATGTTCACAAAGGCATTGTTGGCGTTCGGCGACGTAGAGGCTCGCATGACCACCGACATATTGCCGGACTGAGTGGCCGCGTGACGTGGCAGCGTGCTGGCGCGTCGTTTGCGTCGTGTAGGCGCGTGGAGCGCGAAAGAACTCTTCTCCCTTCAAAACATGCCATGAGTTATAGCATGTTTGACCTGTCGTTGATTTGCAAACCCTCCACATCAGTCTGCCAGCCAAGATGTCACTGGTAGGACTTCCTATTCCTTTCAAGACTCGAGGCCTGTTGCCAGAAGTTGAGACTTGGATGAGCCTTTCCTCACTAATTAACATTTGCCGAAAGGAAGAGACGGCTTTCCTCCACATAAATGATGTACCCTAAGGATCCGCACCCTCAAAAACAAGGATTTTGAGTCAGTTTTGAGGGTACAAACCCTTGTGAACCCCTTCTAAGGAGGGTCCAAGGATCCTTAGGGTAGACAACAAAAAAGGGGTCTTGGACTCCACGCGAATCACGGGGCATGTGGTTTTTTTTTCTGTTGTCATCCCATTGACCCTCAGGCCCGAACTTCAAGACCCCCCCACCTAGTGCCAAAGAGGTCATCCCTAGGCTTCCAACCACCATGAATTTAATAGGCTGAATCCCGAATCAACTAAGGATTTTACACTACCACAACCAGGTCCACCCTTGTTTTAATGGTCTGTCCGTTCAGTCTAGGGTATATTTGCTCCGATTCGATGGGTTCCTCAGAACCCACTTGATCTCTCCCTCCATAAGCATCGCAGTCTCAAAGAACCTCTGCGCTCCGAAAAAACCCACGACCAGTGACGTCCACGACCACTTCAGCAGCGGTGCTTCGATGCGGACGTAGGACCCGGGTCGTTTCGGACCGGTCCCACACTCGCGGACCGAACGGTTTCGCGCTTTCGCGACGGAACCGAGGCCGGAGATCTCCAGAAAGAACGAAGCGAAAACGATGGCCATCACGCGAAAACCCCGGGGTGGGCGAGTAATCCAAGTTCCCTCCAAGAAGGGAACGTGAATGAACTTGAAGTTTTTCGGCTGCACGCTGCGGACGGGTCGATGGGTCGAAAGCTTCGCCCAAAAACCACTCCTGGGATGGGACCACGTCTGGACCACGGGCTCGGCAGGTTGGAACGTGCTCTTCTTTCAACGGTACTGGTATGGCGGTTACACTTGAAGCTGCCATTCTCGCACAGGAACGGATATGAAACATGCCACCCAACAGTCGTGAGTGGATAAGTGGATAGTGTAGGCCGGGGTCTCCAAACAACCACCAATCAAATCCCAAGCCCCATCACTCCCAAGCCCGCCACTCCCAAGCCGCCACGTCCAAGCTGCTTGGTCCGACATTCCACGGTCACGTTTCCCTAGACCAAGCGAAGAGTCGTGTATCTCCTCCGTCCCAATGCTGGAAGTCGCCTCCGTTCCAACGAAAAAGGAGCAAATAATACATCACAACGGATGAACAGAGCGGAGCGCATGCGTGTTGCGCATGGAAACAAGACATCTACAGCCAGCAGCCAGCAGCAAACATGAAAACCAAAACCGAGAAGATCATCATATAAACATTTCGTACGAAAATACAAACATATCCATCCAGCAAAAGCTCGGATGCTAAACACGTATTAAACAGTTTTAAACACTTAAACCGTAAACATCATATACAGTACTCCGTATACCAACCATTAGGAGGGTCATCCATCTAGATCTTGGAAGAAACACAGTAACATAATACGCATCAAACATATATAGTACACATACTAATACACATTTATGGTTATAAATTATAACATGTCAAAATCGACACACTTCTTCATCCTTTTAGTTTAGAGAAGTGTGGCACCGGCGGCGGTTTCAGGGTCTCGCTACCGCTGGTGGTTTCCGGAACCGTCCGACTGCACGGTCCGTTGCCGCCGGGTCCGTTGTTGCGTGTATGTGTGAGCGCACAATGGGACTCCATGACAGCCACACTCTCTCCTATATGTTCAGGCTATGTTCAGTCTGACTTGGCAGGTTCCAGCTTTTGGTGATCGCAAGCCCTCACCAACACTACTGTCCAAAACAGAACTCCAACAAAAAGGTAACCAAAACAAGAAAACCGCTCGCCTTCGTGCCCTCGTCAATGGGAGAGATATCTGATCTCACTGCCAAGCTCCTGAGATGTGCGTCCGTGGCGGGGCTGCCAATGGGTGCCCAATGGAGATCCCTAAGCAGTGCAGGGTAGTCCATTGGACACCCATTGGATGGTCCTGGTATTATATTATATTATTATATAAAGGATGGGATTATAATATGGTTATGTTCTTGAATGTTATTGACACGCCTCCTGAAGAAATGGAAGTTGTGCTAGGAACAGTTTTGCTCTTAACGAGATTGTGCCATTCCCAGAAACAATGAGGTCGTTTACACTCAACATCGCGTTGCTAAAGGTGTCGCCTGCATGTTTTTTCTGTGGCAAAACGTCGCTTTTCAGCACCAACTTACCATAATGGCTACAGTACGCGGTGAGCAAGAAAGCACGGGCGGCGTGTCTGGGGTGGCACCGAAGGCGGAACAGCCGGAGACAGGCCCACAGCCGGGGTTGGATGTGTAGGAGATGCTGGTCATGCTGAAATATATAGTAGAAACACTAGTAGAAACATACATGGGGCATTTAAAAGTTAAAAGTTAAAACTAAAAAAACATAAAACAAAACACCATCAATGATGATCGCACATTGTGAAACACAAGTTGCTTTATGAAGTCAGAGGTGCACATAAAGCTACCAAGGAATCTAATAAAATAGACATAATATATATTATACGTAAGGGTTGCAAAGCGGAAGCGCATAGTGCTTAGCGGACACAACAGTACACTCAACTGTCAAAGTTGCACTGACACTTGCACCGGAACTCGCATCTGACAACTTCGAAAAGGATGAGTGTCATGCGTGTCATGCTAATGAGCTCAGGTCCGATGGTGACATGACTGTGTTCTCCCTCGGAACCTCTCGGAGCCTTTGGAGGTCACGCCGGATTTTATTAAAGACTCTGGGGAGGTTGCCCAGGAAAGTAACGCTCAACATTTGGAAAAGAGTTCAGAACAGTCCTCAGGACATGAAACAATTTTGTTTCATGACAAGAACAACAGTCCTCAGGAAAGGTTCAAGGAGTTTCAACCAAAACTTCTCCAGAGTGCAAGAAACAACCCTTTCGGCCCACCCCATCCCAGCATGGCACCGTTGCTAAGGGCAGCATAAGCCAAAAGCAAAGGGAAAAAGGAACACCGAAAAAAAATGTAAAGAACCACAAAAACAAACACGCACAAAGCACTGAGACTTCCATGTCTGTGAAGGCTGTTAAGGCAAAGGCCAAACCCGCGTTGAAAGGAGGTTAGAACATGTTAGAACAATGTCTACAGCAGGGTTTACCGCCGAAGCCTTCGAGAGGGCAACAGTTTGGATGAGGATGGATGAGGCAGGTTACTCTTTAACTAAATAGCTACATTACACGATGGCATGGCCTTTTGGGTTGCCAGGCCAAACATGAAGCGCAACAAGCTGCTTGCCAGAGCGTGGAGAGTGTGGAGAGTGGACTGCCAGAGCGAACCATACATTCACTGTGGGGAAGCCGTGGAGGACACCGGTTCTATATTGGTGTTGTTCGTGTTGCGTGACACAGCAATAGATCTACATCAGAAGTGGTATGAGCATCGGTGTTAAATAGACATCAGAATGTCTTTTCAATTATGATCGACTTGTCCTGGACCCGCCCGTTGCACCCGACACTCGTCGCCGGGGGGGTGCTGCATCGACGGTGGTTCTACACCATCGGTGCGAGCGCTTCATCGACGGTGTAGAACCACCGTGTGCCACAAGCAAGGGAGGGTGATGAGTGATGAGTGAACACCTGCAGCCCTGGTCCACCCTGTAGCGAACGACCTACAGTAGGTCAACCAAGGTATCCTGTTTTGCACGCGCAGCCAGATTGGCTAACGGTGGGTCCTTCTCAAAGGTAGAAGTCGCGATGGCCCCCCACAATCTCTCGTATATAACAATACTTGTTGGAGAGGCAACTCAAAAATATCCAAACAATTCCAAACTCTAGAAGAAATGTGAATGTGAATGCCAAGTCGTCGTCTTCATCAATAGAGTTGGAAAGAAGAACACAATACTCTGGTGACTGTGGTCCCTTACCTACTATACTGCCAGTGACCCACATTGAAACCCAGGCCATCTTCCTCTTTCCAAGCGTCTCTTTCCCGCGGTTCACAGTGTCCGGAAACATGGGCACATCCTGCATGTGAGGGATGCAAAATGTGAGGGGTTTTGGGTCTATCCCATTGCCAGTAACAGTGGATGATGATGGTTAGTGGAGGCCTTTCTCAAAAATAGTGATAGTCTTTTACTGACTGTTACTGGTAATGGGCTACACCCTAGAGGGGTTGGTATTTGGAAGCAACGATAAGAGGGACCCAATCCTTTAAAAAAACACACGCTTTCAGCTCGGTCCGTCCTTTTGAACATATGGAACCTGAAGCCTCCCCAGGTCACCACCTGCTGGAAACATGAACCAAACGCTGATCTTCCGATTCTGATTTTGGGCGCTCAGAAACGACAAACGTCTGGAACACAAGTTCGCGCTGCTGCTGCCCCAAGCCAAGCCACTTAAGCTTGTGTCAAGGCATGATGAAGACTGGGAGCTGGAACATCGGAAAGTCTCAGTTCATATTGCCAACCTTTAACAATCCAATATGGGTGTCCAATGGACTACCCTACACTATGTAATTACTTAGGGGTCTCTATTGGACACCCGCGCCTGGAAGGCCCACATATTCAGAACCATCCAATGAGCGGCCCAACCCATGCGAATCCAATGCCTCGTTCCGAGGTCTGGATAGTAAGGATGTCCACGAACATGCTGAACAAAGAATGCATTCATAAGAACCCTATGTTGATATGTTGGTCATACAAAGACACTACTCAAGGGTTTTTCGGACCGGTTTGGACCTGGGTCTAGGTCTGGACTTGTGGGGGAATGTCAAGGTCATCACCGCGGAAAACAACGCGTCTATGTGCCAAAAAAATGCTTTTGAGTTGGAATCCCAAACTCCCAACCCAATCTCAAAAGCAAAACTCAAGATATCTCTAAACGGGAGTTACGACACCTGGATGACTGGATGATACTGGATGAACTCTTCTCAAATTGACTGCTGCAGCAGCCAAGTGGTGTCGTTTTTGAGTTGGTGTTTTGCGCCACTCCTCCAGGTGCCACTGCCCTGGAGGTTCATCTTCTTCGGGCGCCCGCGGCTGCAAGGTGGGCTTCACCGTGACTGAGCGAGTTCGATGAATCCAGACATCGAGACCGGGCGCAGAATCGAGATCGGGGTCCAAACACTCCATGCATGGCATATCTATACAGCCAGGACCTTCCTTCTGAGGTCTCTAATTTATAGCCTAGAGCTGATTCGAGGTGGCCAAAAACCACCGGGCTTGGAAGGTCCTGGCAGTATAAACCATATATGTAAATTTCTGGATGTTTTGCTCCCGGATCCGTCACCATCCCAAACACATTGGGACTGGTTTCCACAAAGACGGTCGCTTGCCGACCCGAACAAAATGGGCGCCCGTCACTCGGTGGCGCAGCGCGAGATGCACTCTAGCATCTGGGATTGATTTGTTCACCCCAAGTGATCGGCAAAGATGCGAATGAGTTTCTGGTGTGGTGTACAGTTCCCGTCATCATGTTGGACTGTGATCTAAAACCAGTCACTATTTGGAGGAAGTGACCTGTTGAGGGTATGGACGCCATGAAGGGTGACATGTTGAGGCGGTAATGATCTGAAATTGCCCTGAAAGAAACGCAGAAGGCCTGCCTTCAACATCTATACCTTGTATAGGTGGGTGCCAAATGTAGGTTCTACAAGTGTGCCAAATACATCCAAATACAACGTGCAAGGGTTCTACACAAGAGGTATGTACAGTAATTAATTGTGGATCCACGGTTGCCTGCACATGTGTATTGAACTCAATCCAAGCAAATAGTCTCGTTGGTAAAGAAAAACCATGTAAAAACATATTGTCCACATTCCTTCAAACAAATAGATTCTCTCCACATTGCCGTGTTAACCACAACGTGCGAGACACAATAATATTTATAATAGTTCATAATAGGTTAATCGTCATGTTTAAGCATTTAAGTCTGGTTGTTCGCAAGTCCCTCCACAGCAGTTTGTTGGATTCGCAGAAACCTGGGGGCCGGCACAAGGGCAGAGGGCAGCTGTTGTGCGTGTCGATGCATTCCATTTTTGGAGGGTAAGTCTGACTTAGCTGTCTGAGCCCAGGTCAGTCTCAGAGGACTTCGCGAAGCACCTAATTCCTAAGCGGTGAAGGGATACATGCGATTTGACCGCCATCCTATGCACTTCGCATAAAGCAGGTATTTCGACCGAAAGTGCAAACACCTTACAATTACCCAAACCATCCATGTATGGAATATCTACATTGGGGTGGTTTCAAGGATCAATGTAGGAATATATTCCAGTCCCATGGATGGTCTGGGTTAGTGTTAGATGATGTGTCCTGTGATGCCGCAACGATAGATCTTCTGGCCGTGCTGGCGGACGCCAAAGCCATGTACCATGGGCATGGCATAGCCACCGTTGCAATGCCCGCGTTCCACCACAACGTTCGATGCACTTGTCAGCGTGTGGCAGCGAGGACCCTGGTAGCTTGCTCGCTGTGTTTCTTGACAAAGACATGGTGAACGTCCACGTCGAAAGTCATGTGCATTTGGGGAGCAGCTGCACATAGCGCCGACATCAAGCCCACAAGGCTACAAACTGGACATCAGGTGACGTACGCCCGAGGCAGCAATCGAGCCACCTGCCGTGGGGACAAAATGCAATGTTGCATTAATCGGCTGACCCATCGGCAAAAGCATTGACCATCCAATCTGCACGGCGGTCTGGCCAAACGGTCATCCAGACTTACTGCAAATTCACGAAGACCTACACTGGCAACTACTTTCAAGAATCAAAGGCTTTAAGATGCTCCTGAAAACAAGTCCAAGGCAAAGGGCGAAAAGGGCTATGGTCTACCCCACCCCTGCCAGGAAAAACGGGGATCAACAGTCACATGGGACCCTAGAAGTCAATCACCTGATTTACTGGACTCCAGGTCCTACAAAAACATATACTTAAAGGATGTATACAAGAACACCCCTTGATACACATGCTTTTACTGGGTCGGACTTAGTACTTGTCACGAGCCATCCCATCCAGCTCGTGTCCTCACCCGATCCACGCGGCGGGTACCGATCCACCGGGCCACGGATCTCGGCGGCACGGAACAGCTCCGTGGAGATGCCTCGACGACGTCGAGTGCCGTCGCGGAGAGAACGTCGCAAACACCAGGCGACTTGGTGTTCAATGGTTGTTCGTGTACGTCAAAGCACCAGCACCTGAAGAAAATCGTCCTTTTGTAGCATGTCTGGGCTGAAGAAAACGGTTGTTCACTTGGTTCTTCCCTGACATCCGGTGAACACCTAAAAAGCACATGTCTCTGAAAGAGTTCTTGGACCCTCAAAGGTTGCAATCGACATGGAGGGTTCATGTGATATCTCGACCAAACGTGGTCCTGCATCCTTGCAGTAAGATGCTCCTGTCAATAGGTGGTGCTTCCTACTGTGCTTCCTATAATAGGCTGTATTGTATCGTTACCTTCTGAGAAGGAGGCAGTGGATCCCTAGTGTATATTTATAGGCAGTGGCCAGCGTTCACGATATTCTCATGCTGTGCCTGAGACGAGTGACTGGGCCATTCTTAACGTGATCATGAAAACGGCTCGAAGACGTCATACACTTCCTGAAAGGATCATGGAAATTGGAAGCTACAACAAGAAGCTACTGGCATCGCTACTAGGAGCAAGGACGCTACTAGGGGCTCCTGGCCTGCTACTAGGAACAAGAAGCTATTAGGAACAAGAAGTAAATTTTCATGTTTAAAGAGGAATCTGGGCACCTGCGGCCCCTGACCACCCTAAACCCTACCGAGGCCCCCACTACTTTCTGAAGGCTGTGACTCCGAAGGCTGCGCAGGCCCGTTCCGCGAGCCGCGCAAGAGCTTCTCTTCCAAGCTCGTTGTGCGGCGGGAGCCTAGAGGGCAACAGCGTCACAGCCAGGTGCGGATGTTTCGTTCGTCTCCGGAAAATGCATGGTGCATCCAAGTGCATCCCACAGCTCTCGTGCCATGCCGCTCAAATGGCATGCACAGAATTCACTCCAATTTTGACTTTAAACTAATGCGTAGGAACATGTAGGAACTATATATATATAATAGGAAACTAGAAATGCTCTAACCATGTCTAGCCGAGCCCATGCTTAAGGGCAGCCTATCCTCGAGAACGATACTTGGCTGGATGCTTCCTGGATGGCAGGTTGCCTACTCTTTCAATCCTACCAAAAGGCATGTGGCAGCAAAAGTAAAAAAGTGTGACTATGTTCGACTGTCTTCCCTCCTCCTCCACTGTCTTCCTCCTCTCATCCACGCCGTGCGTTCATGGACTACCACCCTCCGGGTGCCCCGCTGGAACGCACTCCGCTCGAACGCGCGCCGCGAAGATCGCCACGCGCGCGTCGCGGGCCTGCGTGCCGCCGCAGGATCTGCTGGAAGGCCACGTCCAGGTTTTGTGCCCAGACTTCGCGCTGTTGATCCGCCAGCCTCGGACCGAGCGCACGTTCTCGGTGCGGGCACCCGCGTGGGCGAGTGCCAAGCAAGAGGGTGGATAAAGGATGTCCTGGTGGGATGTGAGGAGAGGTGAGGCTTTTTTGGAGGAAGATTTTCCATGAGCTTCAATCCATTTCAATCCCAAATAGTCAAGGGGGGCAGGGGGGCCAGTTGACTGATGTTGACTGTTTAAGATCCAGCATGACACTGCAAAGGACAGCAATGATCCTTTCCACAACTTTAGAGAACGCACAGGCAAGTTTGGATCAACTTGGGCGAGGGTGGGTGGTATGAAAGTTGGGACACAACAATAGCCAAACGATATGAGAAGGCCATCCGGGACTCCAAGCCTCTGCATAGGCTGAGTTATCTCCGCATATCTCCGCTATCTATGAATATGTTGAATGCTCCGTGCCAAACTATTCTTGCAAGGACACTTGAAGTTTGGTAGCGCAACACACGAACAAACATTGCGCAAACGGGAGATCTTCCAGTGGATGGATGGAGCTCCCTCGACCACTCGCGACCAGATCAGGGCGCTGGAGCAGCTCTCGCTGCTGCTCGGTCAAAATCTCCAGGAGCTCCTCGCATCGCGTCGGACGTCGCTGAAACAGCGGACGTCGCTGGTTTCAGCTCGGCCAAGGCAGCTCCAGCGGTTTGGGAAAAAGCTCCACCGTTTTGGGGCCAACGTTTGGGAGATGTGGATAATATTTTTGGATATGGGTTATCTTAGAAGGATCCCCCCATATGGGGTGCGTGGATAATTGATTTAAGATCTCCCATATGTTTTTGGGCAACCAACGTGGAGTTCCAGACCTTGGAACGGAACTTGTTGGATGCGTGAAACCTCGAGCACAGGACGGGTCGCGTTCGCGTGCGGTGCCGTGATGGGGCGTCGCGTTCGTGCTGCAGTGACGGAGCAGTTCAGGGGGATGTGAACTCGTTGCTTTTGGTTCCAAGGTTTTTGGGGCTGAACTCTCTAGTCCGCTTCATGGGCATCCGATGGTATCCGGCATCCGGGGATACTTCTAGATAATTTGAGTCTGCTTCTGGCCTCCTTGGTTTGATGTTTCCGGTTCCAGGTGATCATTACATCTTTTGCTTTGAGGTTGACCAAACAACAGGACCTTCAACAACCAACAGGACCTTCAACAAACAAGCTCGCGTGGGTAAATGCAACAACGTCATGGTTCCAGAAAACAAGAAGGAATACCTATGATGACAAATGACATCAATGCTGTTCTATCCTTTTCTTCTCTGCCTTCCCAGGCATTTGAAGGTTCACTCTCCCAACAATCCGAATGGATGAAGAATCTGTTGTACTCTGTACCCTTGAAGTATACCAAACTGGTGACTAAAATGATCTAAAATGTGTACCTTCCTTGTGGGGTCTTCAATCAACACCATACCTCTGGCAGCTCTCCGTGGTGTTCACAGCACCAGTCATTCAGCTCCAGAGGTTCTCGTTTCAGAACCCGACACTTCGACCATGCCAGTTGGGTACCGGTTCCAGGTCCAGAGGCGACTGCCACCCCTCCACCGGTCAACCTGCACATCGGCCCCCCTGGCGTCCTCCAGCTCCATCGGGGCCGTCTCGACGCCCGGCGAGCCGGCCCACGCGGCACCAAACGGAGGACGCAGATGTTTTCTTTATTTTTGTTAAGGTGACTTTTTTGGGTCCAGCCCGGATTTGATCTCTGCTGTGCTGTGGACATTTTTGTGTGGGAGCTCTTCAGAGCTCTGGGAAAAAGGCGAAGAAAGAATGTAACACGTTAATGGGCTTTTGGGCTGTTTGATTTGAGAGGTGCCGAAGACATCCGGACGAATTTGATTATATAAGACTTATATATAGATTTTGGATTGGTACTGTAGTTCTTTCTGTCTAAATAGAAAAAGGCTTGTAGCTTGGGTCTCTTTCAATGCTAAAATAGCCGGAGATCCAATACCGGCGGTGAAATTCTCTCTGGAGCCCAGTGGTGTCGAGCAGGCCCAGGCCGAGCAGGTCATTTCTTCCAAGGGAGCTGGTTGAGTATGGACATGATCCCGGCGCACCGATGGAGCAAGTTCTACTCCAATCCCCTGTGAGTCTTGTTAGGTATGCATCAAGATGCGTTTTGGGTGTCTTGTGGTCGTTTTTTCCAGTGCATCACCAGAATGTAAAACCTAAAACTTCATAAAGATTCTGATATAGCCTTTTAGCTGCAATAGGTCTAGAGTTTAGAACTTCTACACGAGGATTGAATATGGATATCCGAGTTTATATACACACCCGAATGGTTTGTGGAAAGACGGATGATTTGAAGAATGCTTGAGCTCACTTAGAAACCTCTTGATTCTACTAGCTAATCAGTCGTGACTGTCTGGAAGCAAACAATCTACATGTACAATATCAATGTTGCATTTAGGGAGACAAAAATGAATGAATGAGCCAATGTTTTGTGGTCCGAACCAAAAGATATAGTGTGGGCTGTTTTATCAACACATATAGGACCACATAGGAACATTGTTATGGAACACCTTGGCAATCTGACAACACCTTCAGGGATTGTTAACAGGCCAACAACACTCAGCCTGGTTCTTTCATTTGATCAGGGTCGCCATCAAGAAGTCACTCACATTTGTAGAGCAGAACGCCGCATGACGCTGCCAAGACTGGATTCTGGTTGGATCCAACAAGCAACCCCAAAAGCGTCACAACATCAATTCCCAAGGACGCTACTAGTCATAATTCCCTTGTTCCTAGTAGCGATGCAATCGGCGATGCACTTGTTCCCCATAAAGTATATTAATAAATTGACCCCAAAAGCTTCACAACATCACTTCCCACCTGACTCGAAGTGGCTTTATGCCGTTCTAGTTTTTAAGGGATGTCCCTCAGTCGCTGTATTAACAGAACGGTGCAAGTCCAGTTCGAGCCCAAGCCAACTGGTCACCTCAACACATTTCCTCAATGAACTGTGCTTGGGGGGGGTTGATCACGTCCATCACTTTCAGGACGAGACCAGGAGATCAGGAGACTGGACTCGACAGGTCAAACGGTCCTGGACGGTCAGGGAAGAGTGAAGGTTCCAAGCTTGGGGCTTATCAACCACTTGAACCCAATTTCGCCTATATTCGCCTCGACTTGCTCCAAATCACACCAGTCACGAGGGAAGCCTCGTCTTCCCTGCATTCCACCTGCTGCGCCAGACCTCACCGCCATGGAGCGTTCGATGGTCATGGACCCCGGGCCGTTCGATGTTGCGCATTGCCTCCAAGGCCAGCTTGGGGCCGATGCAAATGTCACTGAGATACCTGGCAGGCGGAGGGTCCAGCGGAGTACCGTCTTCCGTCTTCCCAGACATGACATGACCCGACGAACCCAAACATGACCTTTGTTTTGATAGGAAGTTGGACCGTGTTTGGGCTCCCAAACAGGGGTCAATCAGGTTCTAGGTATAAATACCAGGGCTCCCCAAGAGGTGTCATATTAATAGCTCCCCAGAGGTTAAGGGGTGTCCAAGAAGCACTCCGTGTGGGTCCTCTAGTAGAAATCATATCTAACATGTGTTGGAAAGAGATCACTCTTGAGATCACTCTTCGATCTATCTACTTGGCGGGAAGCTCGTCGGCTGAGCCGCTTTGCGGGTCCCTTTCTGATGGTGAAACATGGTGAAACCAGCAGCATCAACGGCATCCACTAACTATGCTTCAAAGCATGTTAAATGCCACACCACTCCTCAGAAGTGCATCAAAAACACATCAAAACTGTCCTAAACATCAGTGTAACCACTCCTGACACCACTTGGAAAGACTGAACAAAAAGGAAAAAAAAGAAACATGCACTTCTTCAAACCATTCCACAACTTCACGGCCTGGTCCGGTTCTGAGAGCCATCGATGGGCAACAGCTGAAGCTCCAGTGCTTCGGCCTCAACCGTGGACTGACGAACGCCCAACGAGGACGGACGGTGCCATGGCGAAGAACCGAGGAATCCGAGGATGGTGCCGTGCTGTGAATCCATGTGAAACACTCAATCACAGAACCAACAGAGCTGGGTCAGAACCCGACTGTTCGACTATGCCAGTTGCCAGGTAGATTGGGTCCTAGTTCAGGTCACTGAAAACCTCTGTTGGAAGGGCAATGACCTGAGATTTCTCCACGAGGGATTCCGAGGTGCCACACTTCACGGATGTGTGAAAACAGAGGAACGCCACAACATACTCTCCCACAAACTAACAATGGAACCCGAGAATTGACCGGTGGAAAACCATTTTCCTCTACATGGTTTTGGGGGGTCCATGTGGGTCTCTGCGGGGGAGTACTCCCAACCAAGTGACTCACAGATCCCAAATTCAAATGCATCAAACTCATCAAACGACCAAGCCTACCAAGCCTACCTTTTTCCAGCAAAGAATCGACCTTTTCCAGAGTTGTGCACTTATGCAAAGGGCTACTAGAGGCCTGGAATTCCCCAAATCAACGACCTCCTACAATCATCTCCCATGAGCTGACCCTGCAAACGTCGCTATGCAGTTCAATCCACCAGAATCATCCAGAATCTAGGGTTTGGGCCCACTTCCATGCATCTTTCATACAGAAAACGGTCGACTCCATTGTTGCGGCACGCAAACGTCTTGCCGCCTGTCTTGCCGGACCAGGATCCGTCAACGACCGACCCGAAGAAGTGTTCGTCATACCCCGGCCTTGTTCAGCACGTCCACCCTGCGCCGGAAGATCTCTTCCGTGAGCAGCCCGGACCTGAAAGCGGTTCAAAGCACGGTACCCGGTTGGCCATGTTGCATGAAGACATCGGAAGGGCTGGACGTCATCTTGCAACATGTGCGGTAACACTTCCTTCATGATGTCCATAAAGTCATCCTGCTTAATAATCTTCATGGACGTCGTCCTGTCTTGAGCTGACCCATCGTACTTGCTTTCAAAACGACCTCGAATAAGCTGCTTTCTTTGCTTTTCGATGACTGCTTGCTGCACGGTGCAGGGCTCGGTTGGGGTTCATAACTTTGCTCACCGTCCACCATCCAACATCCGCCTGCTTCCAACCCATCCAACGGCAAAGCGCGGCTCACTTGGAGTGGATTGGATGACGAACCTTTTCCTTCTTGATCATCGACTGGATCCATGGCACCAGTTCACCAGCTGGGCCTAGCTCAGTCGGGTCGAACAGAAACCCAGCGGGCTGCGGAGAGGCTCGGTGGAGACTCGTCTGCCCTGGTCGATTCACCTGGAGAAGGAAGGCATCCGTCGCCCATGTTCCGCGAGCAAATCTCGGGAGACGTGGTGCCGGTCTTACTTGGAGCGTCTGGGTTGGGACTCATGAAAACCAACTCGAAAGAGCAGCTCTGTGAGAGCTCACCAATTCTTCGGACTCCTCAACTCACAGGAAGACTCGCGACATCGCGGAGCAGGTCCGGCAGGTCTTCGCGAAGGATGATTCCGTCTTCGGACTCTATCATATATAAGTACTCCTGGCAATCCTTGGACCCTCCCGGAGTGATCGGAACATGTCTGGACCCGAACCAAACCCTTTCCATTTGAAGGTCCCAATTCTTCAAGAAGCCTTCGTGGCAATGGAACGTGGACGTGGACCCAACCAGTCATTTTGCAGTGCAATCGTTGGCGGCTTCTTCCCACCACATGGAGTGATTCAGGATGATGCCGATTCTACCGCTGCTCCAAGCAAATTCATCACTTTGGTCTTTTTCATCGTGGAGCGCTCTCTCTCTCTCTCTATCAAATATTACAAGTCCAAAGACCCAGTAAAAGCTGGTCTTTGACCTCCTTGAGTAATTAGTGTTTTTGCACCACCAACTCCAGCAAAATGAGGTCTTTGACCTATAACTAACCTGTAGTGTACCTGGTGGTAAGTGTGCCACAATGTGCCACAGCACACGAAGGCCCCCCCAAACCAAATTATTCATCCCAAATCCCCTGCGACTTCAAGAATCCAAATTCAGTATTTTTTTTTTGGAGTCGCAGGGGATTTGGGATGTGGAGGATTATCCACATCTCCATGTGCGTCATATCTTCCACTCGTGTGGTGGTTCCGGGGAACCAAACCCTTCTCGTCCGTCTCGGATCGGCCGTTTCACGCGCACGGCGCGAGGGACATCCCCGGTGACCATACAGCCACAGTGACAAGAGTCGCGCCAACAGCAGCACCTGGGTCCGGTGCAGTCTAGACACGTCGATGAGGATAGGAATACACTGCAGCTTTCGTAGCTGTAGGAGTATACATGGTGGAGTAGGGTGGAATGTCCTAGAATGTCGATTTATCATGCCACCGATCGAAGTACTTTTGCCGGGAAAGAAAGGTATACCAGGTATATCAAAAGCGGGCCACTCGCTGATTTCACTGAAGTCTGACTCAGCAAATTCCTGGTCCTTTCTTCCCTTCAAGGAGGGAATCATGTGTTGCAACGTGTCTGACTCACCGAACAATCCCCATGTTCCGCCAGTCAACCGGTCCAATGGCCCTTTGATGAGCAGGGCTCAATTGGATGAGCAGGGCATCTTTAAAACACAGTCAGGACTGTCGCAAGTGTATCTTTCTTGAAAGAATTTGAGTTGAGTTGTTTGAGTGGCCATGAATTTGAACGGTTGATGTCAAGGACTCCCAATGTTTGCAATGAATTGGTGAACAAAAGG